ACGTTCAGTATTCCTCTACTGATGTTTTATAATTTCTCAAACTTGTTAAAACAGTAGTTTTATAGTTTTTCACATTTGATATGATTAGATTATTTTATTATAGTTTGGTTTTAGCTCTGTTAATATCCTACTCACGTTCCTAAGTAATCAACGACTATCTAACTCTCTAAATCACTATCATTTCATGCATAAGTAAAATCCATCCTTATTACATGATAGAGAATAAAGTAATATATTGGAAGGATGGAATAACCAAATTGTAACCAGAGTTTCTCTGGATCCTATTTTCTTTCAAACCTGTTTTTTTTTTTGTTTCTTTTTTATGAGGCCAAGGTAGGATCCTAGACTGAAGGACGATTGAGCCATTGCCTTTTCCAGCATCCGTCCATTGAAAAGCTTCTCACGTGGTTATTAACAATACCTCAATATATTAATAATTAATAGTCAGCATTTTCAGAGATATTTTTTATTAAAGGCGCTAACATTTTCATAACAAAGAAGCTAAAATATAACAAAGAGAGAATGATAAATAATAAGCATAAATTATGTTGTAAGGGTTTAGATAATAGAGATAGAATTAGTGTACATTTATTATTTAATTTTGACTTGATGATGCCTTTTCTTTAGTTAAGTATTTCTTCATTTCTTTTATTTAAATAATATTAATCTAAATTTCTTTATGAGGCTTTGAAGTTCATAAATATATTTGATATTGACTAAGACCATCCTGTGCTTGGATTTCGATCAGAATTTCATTATTACTTGATTTTTTGTTATTATTTTTACAGAATTAAAATAAACATGTTTAATTTTATGAATTTTTATTTGTTTTGTAAAGAATTTAAGTCAATTATAAATCGTTGTATATATGAATCTTTCAGTTGACAGAATTACTAACTCTAATTTCAACATTTTTGAAAAGTCATTTTAGTGACATTTCTGGTTGGAGGATTTATAATATATATCTACATACACTGAGAAAGTTGATTCCAGAGTAAGTGATTTCGGTATTGAAACATAGAACTGTGAATAAAGGTATAATTTTTCCCTCTTGAAATATCACTAAAATTAATAATAAAAAATCCTGAAATTGGAGAAGCCATTCTGTCAACTGAAGGGCTTATACAGAACTAATCATTATGCGTAGTTGAATTTTTTTTCATATATTTCCTAAGGAGTGTACTATGTATCGCATATCCAGAATGAAAGGGGCAACCAAAAAATGTTATTTCTAGAAAACTGCGTTCAAAGTTTTACACTGAATTCTGATGCTGAACATCAGAATAAAATATTGCTCTTATTTTAATTTTTTTAAGATTACAGTTTAGTGCAAAACATGCGTAAGCACAAATAAAATAATTACTAGTTCACACCCCGATATTGGGGGAGACTTTTAACTCTAACATAAATACCAAAATAATCAATTCTACTTGGATATGACCGTTCAATGATACATTTATTTGTTTCTTTATTGTATGTTTAGGCGGAGTAATCACTTCGAAAAAAAGTGTAATAAAAATTTTCTTTTTATGTATTGATTGTGGACTGAATGCTGTGTAACAATCCTTGAATTCATTTGGACGTTTTAAAAGATATTTCTTTCTTTCTAATGCTCTACCATTATCTCTTATTGAATATATTTAGTGAATGATCAAAAGAACTAATTATAGTTTTTTACTTAATGCTCAATAGCTCTTATATAACAAAATATTTTATCTTTAGATGCTTTGAGGATATGATCACGAAAATTGTAGTCATAATATATTTCTTGTAATCACGAAAATATATTGAAACTATGAATGGTATACCATGTTGATTCAATGTTGTTTTTTCTACATGCTTACTCAGACACTGTGTAAATAAGGTGTTACTATGACGTAACTGAAGCAGAAAAAAATATATATTTTTTATTTTTAAATACTTAGGCGGTGATCGAATTAAAATCAACAAATTTGAAGTGCCTTAGTTCATATCATTAATTTCAGAAAAACAAACACTTCAAGAGCCTCTTGTGATGATTCAAATTATCATTATACTTTCTCTTTCTATGTTAATCTGAGACATTTTGTTGATCCTAGTGAGCTATTATAAATGCAGACGAATGATATTGGGTTGGCAAATAAGTCCTTTAGCTTTTTCTGTTTATTTTTATGTCACTATGATACACTTTTTCTCTGATGAATTAATCAGTAAGGTGGATTGTTTATCCTATTTGTAAAATATCAACAGCTATATTACAATCTGTCAACTCTTGTTGAAACTAGCTTAGTATTGTGTTTGCTATTGCACTGTGAGTATGGAAGAAAATATCATTCATTATCGGTATATTTTGTTGTATTATTTTAAAAAAGGTAATCGTGCTGCAGAAGATCATCAAAAAATTTGCAATGTTTATGGGGATAATACCTTAACCGAAGGCAACTGTCAATGTTGGTTTGCTAAATTTCATTCAGGAAATTTTGACATCAATGGTGCCCAGCGGTCTGGTCGCCCGCTTGAAATTGAAACGAGCAATGTTAAGGGTCATTGTTTATTAAAATCACACCCAATCAGTGCGAGAGATTGCTATGGCCCTAAATGTGTCGCAGACAACCGTAGAACACTATTTGCGCAAGCCCGGCTATGTTTCCAAGCCTAATATTTGGATCCCTGCTCTCTAACCGAAGTCGAGTTGACTTCGGTTAGAGAGTGAGGACAACACGCATTTCTGTATGTGATACATTACGTAAACGGCAACAAAACAATTATTTGTGAAAAAATAATGTAGGGTCAATTTTATTGAATTCTGTATGTTGCTTTCTCTTATATATGAGCAAACGCGTTTTCCCTGATACGTCTATATCTCGTTTATGGGGTTATAAAATTTTAGGTTTTATTAAAAAAATTAATTGATACTGTATTGTTTGGTCGATTTCAAACGTTACTGGCACACTTACTACCGTTACTTGGATTTCGTGTAATTTTCAATACATTTAAAATAATTTATAATCTGAGTTTGTAAAAAAACTTCTTATTTACGATTGTGTTCATTTCCATTGAAGCTCAAGTTCGTCTTGGTCTCGATTTCCTTCTTAAATATCGAAGTTATGTGAATTTCATCTAAATTTTTATATTCTAGCTTAAATCGTTTTGTTCTTACTGAAGAAACGTATTGGTCTCGTTAACTCCGAACAAACAACAACTTGAATATTTCCTGTGGATTTTCTAGTGTCATCCATTTTACCAGTGAAAACATACTTAAGTATATATCACTGTTAGTGCAAAAAGATCGTATGTTAAAATTTTCAACTTTTATTCTCTTTGTGCCAAAGGTGACATTTTGTAGTCTGCAACTGATATAAGTAGTCTTCTACTATAGAAAATAGCAGAGGACAATAAAATATGAAATCATTAATAAATCATAATGAAATAATGAGTTTTTATGCACTCTTGAAAAACAATCAATTTTGGTTTATTTTTTTCAATAATCAACCATTGTGATCGACCAAATAATTAAAAAAACTTAACCCCCTCAAAATTTGAGGTTTCACGTTTCAGGATTTGAAAAACGAATAAAAATGTTTTTGTCCGTTCGCGCATTTTCTCCGAAACTACTGGACCGATTTTTTTCAAATTTGGATATAAAAACAGAGGTCACCCGAGGATGATCCTCTTTCATCGGCATTATTATCCGTCTTTTACTTTCAAAATGGCTGCCGAAAAACCTGAGTTGCTAAACACTGTCGCGCCTAAACGAATGTACCGATTTCAATGAAACTTCGCTAAAGTCATTTTCTCGACGCACTTTAAATTTATTTATATAACATACTTCAACGAAAAGAAGCTAGAAAAAAAGTTATGAGGGATGGTAAAATTAAATTCCGAATAACTCAAAAAGTTTACACTTTTTTGTTGATATTGTGATAAGATGTTTCAAAGGTATTTAAATTTCCTAAAAAATGAATAAAGTTTCATCGAAATCAAAGCACTATTAGTAGAGATATTGCGATTTTTAAATATTTCTGGTTTATTATTTTCAATAATCAACCATTGTTAAAGATATTGCCTCCGGTTTTTTTTTTATATGTTCTACTCCAAATGTTATATTCTTTGTTTGGTTTTTAAATTTTGAATTTGTTATTGGAGTAATGCTATTTTTTTCTTTAGCATATTACTAATGATTAAAAAAAAAGTTTAGTCCCATAATTGGAATCGCCTTTTATTTACTTTTCTTAGTGACTAGAAAGGTAATGTTACTTTAGATGTAGAATTGTTTGGAAATAATAAACCATTATGAAATAATTTGCAGCGTTTTTAAATACGACCTTTTGCACTAACAGTAGCAAAATGCATGTTCAGTATGCATTTTTGTTTTTTTAAATTAAGGATAATAAAATATGGAATCTTCACATACGGCATTCTTTCGCATTTTAATATTAGCTGATAAACGAAATTCGTGGATATCAAACCAGCGAATGTTGAAGGGTAACTGTATTTCCGAAGCGGCTTCTCCTAGAGATTTTATTCCCGTACGAAAAGTTGTATACCTTGTAATATTGTAATATTTTAGCCAATGAAAACGGTGAGAAAACTATACTGACCTTACTTAGCAGACGTTTTTTTCTTTTTCTTTGGTTATGTATGAGATGTGTTTTCGAAATTAAATGACAGTTTCTGTACCGCTTTATATTTTTTAAAAAAAGATTAAAATGAATAATTGTCATATATCTCAATCAAATGCTATTATAATGCGGCTAGTGGACAAGTACAAATAGATTGGTTTTGAAGTAGGGTTTTTAGGTTTTTTGCATTTATTACAATCAGACATTGCATTACGCGTTTTAAGCATTCGAAAAATACCAAACATATCATTTGACATAATGGTAATTTAGCTTACTAAAAACAGTAATAAAGATAAATGTTGTCATCCTTATAGATTAATTATATTAGTTTCTTAACATGAAAATTTAAACTATAGATCAATCGTTTGATTTCTTGAATATTGGTTACATGAAATACAGCTGAAGGAAGGACTATCGCCAGTATGGATGGAAACGCTGGTAATCAAAGATGCTATCATCTATGGAAATCCCGAAAACATTAAAAGTAATACCAAGAAAGTTGTTGTCGAATTTTGGAATCAAAGTACGTATTACCAATTATAACTACTTACAAAATAATTTTAGAACAACTTTTAAGATTACGATACTGAAAGTAGTCATTATATATATTTTCATACTTACGAATCGTAAATAATATAAAAATTAATTTATAAGGAAAAAAAAAGACATGTTTTTCTGAGAACAACCGAGAATAATATTGTACTACCATAAGAAAAGTACTGTTTAATTAATAACGCGATTAATATTTTAAAATTTATGCAAAAAAAACAAAAACACATTTTGATTTAATCGTCTGCTTAGGAAAAAATGAAAAAGATTTAATTGGGAGAATTTTTGGAAAACCTCATGTTTTTCTAAAAGATGAAAAACTTCAGCCTCCGAATTATCCACCACCTTTGGAATGGCAAAGAATTTGTGAACAAGGAAAAGTAAAAGGAGAAATATTAGCTGCCTTTGAGCTTATTCAGGTTTGATAAAACATCATAGTCTCGTAAACATTTGCTTATAAATTTGTTTATCTTTTTTTGTGTGTAAACACAATTTTGAATTATATTAATTTTGATTAATATTAAAAATATCTTTAACATTATATATAATAATAATAATATTTCTATAAAATGATTTTATTGCAATGTATACTTGGTGTGAAGCGGAAAGTAAAATGTAATCAAATTAGTAAATACTTTTAGAATAAATTATTTTTTTCGAGGTTGTAACAATCACATTACAAGCCTTACGAAGAATATAAACAATAAATTTCTTTACAATTTATTGAAACATTGATATTATAGAAGTATTGAACTTATACTATGTACATACTGTGAACTTGTATATAAATATATTTGTAAAGAGAGGCCAGGATCGGAATTAGGACTTTCAACAAGAGGCATAAGCTTAATTTTGTTGCACCATTCTTCAACTCCCTCTAACTCCAGTAAAATAATCAAAATACTTCTACTAAAATAGTATTATTTTCTCAAAATAAATATCATCCTTTAACATTAATTAATTTTATTGATTGGATTAATGTCAAAACGACGAACAAGCGTAAACAAATACTTTTTCCTAGCTAAAAAAAAGTTTGCTAAAATTTTGTCGTCCTCCAAATTCTAAGTTTCTCCTTAGCAGATTACATTTAAAGTTTTATTAATCTCCGTTCCCGAAAACTATATGTGTATGATTAATATAATTGTATAACCGAACAGGTTTGATTGTTTTTAATTTGTATTCATTCATTATCCATGAATTCAAAAAATGCATAACCGATAGGCTTGCAGATTTGATTGGAACCAGAGGTCAAGTTTTCCGTAGGGATGGTAGTTTTATTGAAAGTTGAAAGCTTTTCTTGAAAGAAAGATGAATATTGGTTTCTTGAAGCAATTGAAAACAACACGATACAACAATAATTAATTGGCCTGATGAATCCGATTGACCCCTATGAAATTTACTAAGTTAATTTAGTTTAGTAACTTAATTTCAATAAGTATTAAAATTCTTTATTGAGATATATTATACATCTAAGGGCAATAGTACTAGTGATATATATCATTCACACTATGTAAAATATATAAATAAAAATAAACAGCAAAATAATAGTACTAAAAGTAAATGTATATAAGCTTAAAGAAACTAAAATAAACACAAATAAAATTAAACAAACCAAAATAACTACTTAAATACACACATGCTTAAATAAGTATTAAAAATATAAATACCATTGGGTTCTTATAAACAGATAAAAAAAGGCTTTACCTCTGCAGAATCGTGATGGGGCATCAGCTGATGAAGGACAAGATCCAGTAATTGATTTGCCCAAGTATATAAAACCAACTACAAAAACATACAGGTAAGGATACATTTTTTTCCACTTGTGTATTCAAAGATCATTTCCCTCTAAAACGCTTTATTTCAATATATTATGCATTCTTCAGTTGTTTTTATAGATGTTACGAATTAGTATAGGAGGGTCCAAATAATTAACTCATACATTTATTTATAGTACTGATAAATATTTAATGGCATAGTACTGTAATTGCCTATAATAAGAGCATTCTTTAAATTTTCTTTTCTCCAAGATTTTGAAATAATAAGAGGTTGAAATATAAGCATTAAACTTTGATACAACATACCGGTACGCCGCTGTTTATCTAACAACAACAACTGGTGCTTTTATGTGTCCAACAAGCGATATGTGGGAGACTGTAAAAGATCTGGAATTCGGCTCGAGTCCGTTTAATAGATTTCGGTGTGCCCAATGACATCTCCTTCTTTAGCGAAGTTATTTGGATTATCTTCCGAGTGAACCAAACCTGTGGGATGAACCACAGAGAACCGTGCAGAAGACCTGACCGTCTGATACACTTGTATAAGTTTATTTATAGTTTGATTATGAGTGAGAGAGCCAAAGATGTAATAACGCGGACCAGAGATGTCTAAACGTTTTAGCCAAAGGACAATTCCTTTCCAGTTCATCAAACCAATATTTTCATATTATTAATAGCTAATTTTTTATTTTTATTTTCATACGCACATTAGTTATTATGTTTGATTGGAGGGTAATAACAGAAAAAGAAATCTGATTAATATACTTCATATTTTACTTAGAAAGGAGGAGGGAGTTCCTTTACAGACTGAGGGAGCCACGTTATCACTGTCTCAGATTGGCAGTGGTAGTTTTCCAACTACTCCATGAAGCAGGGGAGAGTTGGCCTGTAAACTGTAATCAGGCAACAGGTTCATCAGGCTCATACCCTTCCAGCCCGAGATTAACAAACATCAAAAGTCTAGAAAGAAATAGAGCCGATAGGATATCATAGTGCAAGGCGTGGAAAAAGGTATATCACACTAGGAAAACAAAATTGGAAAATCACAAAAGAAAAAATCATGCAGGGGAATAGGAAAGCATGGGAAGATTTTGGATACAAGGTGGAAGAAGAAAACCAGGAAAAGTAGAAACTGTTCTAAAGATGCCGACGAAACATACGCAAAGAAAAGGATGTAATAAGACAAGGGAGGCTATATCGTCACCATTGCGAGGGAATATTGAGTAGATGGGCTGAACACTTTGAAGAAGCATTTAATCACTATACGGGACGGGACAAATAACTCTGACAGAACAAAATACACACAGCAATGGAATCTCTGTTGAAAAGGTGAGATGTGATGGCCAAGCGTGTTTAAGAACTAACTATTCATCCGAGGAGTTCAAAAGCACCTAAGAAATAAGGCAGGGCTGTAGTATTAGCCCACTACTGTGTATAATAGTCCTCAAAATGGCCTAAAAAGGGCAAAGAACGAGAATGAGGCCATTTTGGCTTGGTCATAGAAAATTAATTCGAGTTAACCTGACATTCAAAGCCTATGCGGATGATTGTGTTGTATTCAACAATAACGGAAGAAATCTACGATTCAACCTTAAAATCCTACAGGAAGAATTACAGTTTTAAACGTAGAGGTTAACACCAGAAGAAAAAGCAATGAGAACAGGATGGGGAGGGGATGTGGAAGGAGAGACCAAATGTTTCGTCTGTAGAGAAAGGAGTTGGTGCGAGTCAGAGACTTAGGAACATAGCTAACTAAAATTGTCTGAATAGACGAGGAAATTAGGTAAATATTGAAATCGGTCGGCAAATGTTTTCATTCACTCACGTCTGATTTCATGGTGAAGAAACAAGTTTCTGAAAAAGTAGTATGTAAGATGACATTTATAACCCTACTGATCTATGCCAGTAAGTCTTGGACTCTATCATCAAGGCATAAGAAGATAAAACTAGACGATATAGGGTCACAAATGCGACAATTAAAATTAACCTAGGAATAAAACTGGCCGAACAGAGAGAGAATGAAGGGGAAAATTTTTCCGAAACCATGTAGGAAACGAAAATTGAGGGAAGAAGGCTCAGAAAGACTTGGGAAGAGGCAGTCCAGGATAGATTAAACAGAAGGGGAACGGACTGGAACAGGGTAAAGATTCTCGGGTCAGCCTCTTCACGTAGGAACTCTTCATATTTATTCCTGGCAGAAGAGGGCAAGATTAAGAAGGAGAAGGAAAACATGCCATACTTAAGAAAAATACTTATACCATAGCTATTTCTTACATACTTTAATTATTTTCTGATCTTTTTTTCAGATTTGAAATTTTGTTTTGGGGTATCAGACCAACCAAACATACGAAAATGTCATCACTCAGCCTTCCTCGAATTATTGTTGATTGTGGAATGATGCATATCGAATCATCTGCTTTGAGTGATGCCAATTACTTTCCAAATTTTCAGGATCCTCCCGTTTTGGTGGAGGTTGTAAGTATTAACTATTATTAAAAAAAAAACATAAATATAAAAGTATTAATCATACGTATTTAAAAAAGCGTCGAAAGTCAGGTTATTCATGTAGAAAATAAAAAGAATTAAACGTTAAATATTTTTTTTATTCACTGGTTTTTCTTTCATTATTAATGTTCCTTTAAAAAAAATAACTTTGATTACTGATGATGTTTTTTTATGAGAAATTAGTATTGTTTGTTCTTTCTTTGACATCTAAATGTATTATTCAAGATAACGAATCTTCAAACCACTTCTACATTATAATTTATTTAAAATGATAATTATATGTCGAAAGTATCATGTGATTAGAAATAATACAAAAACGAGAAGAATATTAAATTTAATATTTAATTTAAAAAAAAATACTGTACATGCGGTTTGTGTTACAACTATTCTTGGCTGCAGATGTATCTTTATTTACATTAGTGATATTTTTAGAGTGTTTAAGATGACGAGTTATTTTTAGGATGCGTTTAAGCAGCTGTAGATAGATACCGCAGGTTGAGGGTGTGTCAATCATTAGAATGGAAGGTAGACATAATGTCTGTCTTTGTGTCAGTTTTGAACATCAATGTTTAGTGAACAATCATTGATGTTTTAGAAGACAAAAATCAGACCATATCTCCTAAAAAGATCTATATATATTTTTTATTTAATTAATTATTATTTAATCGAGGGCAGTAAAATAATTTTGATCACGCCAAGTGTTCATTTTACTTTTTAGACATTATTTTGAATGTTATCAAAAATGGTTGTAGCCTCATTTATTTTAATTTTTATTTAATTTTTCTTTTAGATTAATATTTTCATTTAAATTAAAAAACAAATAGTTTAAGCAAATTAATTTAAATCAATGATATTAAATTCTGTGTAGATTATCAATGAAGGGGAGCTTTTCTTTACCTAAATGTTGCAGTTTGTGGATTGGCTGGTGTTTGTGAGCCCATATTAGGATTAAGATAAAAAAAAAAAATCAATATTTTAATTGTTTCATCAAGCCGTTTTCTATGCTAGTAATAGTTATTGAAATATCGAACCATTTAAAATCCATTTAAAAATAAAATAGTAAAAATAAATAAATGTATTTTTCACATTCGCCGACGTTTCGGTCCGAAGTTTAAAACTTTTTTAGAGCTTAGAAAAGAACCAGATAACAATAGGTATAAGAAACTATAAACATTAAAGGTACAATTAAAAAAGTGAAAGGTATTCACTAAAAAGTTAGGTAGAAAAACTTAAAATGAAGTAAATAGAGTGAACATTAAAGTAAAATAAAGTAGGTTGAATAATAACAGTAACAGATAGCTAAGAAATAAATAATAATAACGGTAACAAAGCACGGACCAATGAAATAAACATAATCAAAATAAGTTAACTTAAGAAATAAAAAATGGCAATCTTAGAATAAAGTGTAAAACGAAATAAACTGTTATTTTACTTTAATGTTCACTCAAACTACTTCATTTTACGTTAGGTTTTTCTACCTAAATGTTTATTCTATACTTTTCACTTTTTAAATTTTAGTTCTTTATTATTCAATGTTTAGAGTTTCTTATACCTATTGTTATCTGGTTCTTTTCTTAGCCCTGAAGAAGGCCTGAACTTCGGGCCGAAACTTCGGCGACTGTGAAAATAAATACAATTTTTTATTTTTACTATTTTATTTTTGAGTGATCACCCTAACCATCCTTCTCTTCAATTATTCACTACAGTCAACCATCAAATCCACATTATAAAATCCATTTAATATTATTACTTAAAAAAAAATTAGACATTATTAGTTTTTACAACAGTTTATGTGTAAGTCCGAACTAAGAAAAAACTTACTTATTAAAAAAAGATGTTGCGATATTTGACATACAACTCCTATATAACGCAATATAAAAAACAATCTATGGAAAATTATCAAAACAAATTAATTAAAACAACGCTGCAAATTATTTCACAATGGTTTATTATCTCCAAACATTATACATCTAAAGTAACATTACCTTCCGAGTTACAAAGAAAAAAAAACAAAAGGTGATTCCAGTTAACTGAATAAACTGTATTTCTTTAATCATTAGTAATATGCTAAAAAAAAAAAAAAAAAAAAAAATAGCATTAGTACAGTAACACATTTAAAATCTAAAAACCAAACCAAGGATATAACATTTGGAGTAGAACACATAATAAAAAACCGGAGATCTTTGCTCCTAATTGTCCGATTTTAACGATTTTTTTTTTTTTTTTTTTTTAGGAAATTTCGTATAGTTTTTTTAAAGTTTACAAAATTTCCTTTCCCTCGCAACTTTTTTTCCAGCTTCTTTTCGTTGAAGTATGTTATATAGGTAAATTTAAAGGGCGTCGAGAAAATGACTTTAGCGAAGTTTCATTGAAATTTGTACATTCGTTTAGGAGCTACAGTCTATAGCAACGCAGGTTTTTCGGCCGCCATTTTGAAAGTTAAAGGCGGAGAGTAATGTCGATGAAGGAGGATCATCCTCGGGTGACCTCTGATTTTATATCAAAATTTGAAAAAAATCGGTCCAGTCGTTTCGGAGAAAATGCGCGGACGGCGGACGGACAAAAAAGTTTGTATTCGTTTTTCGAATTCTACGCGTCTTGAAACGTGAAACCTCAAATTTTGAGAGGGGGTTATGTTTTTGAATTTTTTGGTCGATCACAATGTTTCATTATTGAAAATAATAAACCAAAAATAAATGTAATATTCCTGTTAGTGCTTATAATTAACCTAAAGATATAAACACAGGCTTAATAATTCCACAATTTATTGCCTAAAATCCCTATCCTACCCTACTCTAAAGGTAACATTAGGAAAATCATATTGATAAGTAATATTTTTGTTATTTATATGTTAGTTAAGAACTATATCCATATGTGTCTGTATTTCCTTAAAAGTGTAATTCATTTTTTTTAGGAGTTACCTGAAAATTGGTATTTTGCACCACCATTTGTTATGCGTCTTTACAGTTCTCAAGCTTTTGGCACTTTGGCATTTATCGGAACTGAAATAAGAAGGAACCTAAGAAAACATTATTTAAAATTTCCTACGTGGAAAGAATGGCATCGATCAAGGTCAAAAGCCGAGACGATAAAAACATCTATTTCAGGAAGTAAGATGTGAGATACAAAGTATCAGTAAAATTGAACTAATTAAGTTATTTTCTCTTCCTAATTTACCTGATTCATTTCGTCCGCTCTTTCCTTTCCAATGAAACGTTTTATTGGAAAAGAAATAATTTATAAGCCAGCTTAGTTCTCATAATCGGTAGTATCACACAAGGTTCTTGTCAATCTCCAACCCTATCTTTTTATACGATTTTCCAAGCCATTCGCTAGAAATAAAGTCCCTTTGTGTTTACGATACGGCTCGGTACACTTGTTATCATATCGCACGAATACTACAGTAAATCGATTACAAAAATTTTTTTTTTTAAATTTCTTTATTGAGTATTATAACAATCTGTCTGTTGGACATTGGTTATAGTGAGGTAGGATGACATTCACACCATATGTACAAAAAAATAAAATAAATAGAACAAAATAATAATCAAAAGTATATACAATAGACAATAAAATAAAATAACCTAAAAAATAAGAAAATTAAAACTATGGAAAAAAAAAAAAAAAACACATGCATACCTATAATAAAATAAAATAACCTAAAAAATAAGAAAATTAAAACTAAGGAAAAAAAACAAAAACACATATTACAAAATAGAAAAAAAAAATCAATAAATATTACAAGAACTGGTAATTAAAAGAAATTATTAAATAAACTAATATTAATGTATATACTTTAAACAGGTCATTAACAAACACTAACACATCAATAGAAAAATAGACAAAGCTAAAAAATATATTTTCAAAATGTTTTTACATTTTATTGTTATTCGAACTAAATAGAGTGGAGTTCGATTTGCAAATCCAATTACAAAAAACGTAGATGAATTTAAGACTTATGTTTATGTATTAGAATAAAATAAATAAAAAAAATTCAACAATACATCACGAACTGATCCTTCCCGCGATACATCAGTTCATTCATTCACAACCTATTTTTACATAACCACAGGTTTTTAAAAATCTCTGATACAGCGCATTGGCATTTAAAATAAATTGTCAGTTGATCGAAATATACACAAAACAAGTACTTATGAATAAATGATATTTTTTTCAACTATATATTATAAACATGTTCGGTCCCGCCATATTTAAAAACGGCATTATCATGGATGAGGATAACCTGAAACACAAGGGCTAGCTAAGTGTAAAGCTCCTGAAGATGTACGCTCCCCCGATGGTGAGAATGGAAGACGAGGAGATTCCTGCCAAAGTGTTCTGGGAGCAAATAATAATACTATAATGTGGGAGTTGGTTGCAAAGGTAGACCACGTCTTCGCTGGGAGGAACGTGTAGACGCCCGAGGCCTCCTTTGACATCTGTGATTGGAAGGTAGCAGCATTAGATAGAGATATCTGGGGGTCAATGTTGAAGCAGGCCAAGACTCAACTTAGGGGTCGTAGAGCCGATGGAAAAAAAAAAAGATAACCAGAATCATGTATATCTAAACATTATAAAAGCGTTAAATAAATATTTGTTATCTATCTATCCGAGGAATACTAAATGAATACCTAAAACCCTAAAAAAATTGTATTTAAGGAACAAATCAGGTCTATGGAGCACAGTGTTGACCATACTATAATACTATAATTTACTGATATCTGATTTATATCTTATTAATTGGTCTTGATACTCGGAAAAATAAAAAAATCAACACATGAATCACTCTGATCCTCATTCCCAACATCAGCCATACTGAAAATTTAAATTCCTACGAAACCTTTGAAATAGTGAAATACAATGATTATGGATAATACAAAAATGTAGTATCTGACAAATATCTAAAATTATACCAGCAGAAATGTTTAATTACTTAAATTTAAAAAAATAATTTTATAGTTTTATTTTTGGAACTTCCTAAAGCAATATTAATCTAAAAGTATTGCACAAACTGTTGACATGGAAAATAACAGTAGTATCTGTTTATGTAGTAGTAAATAAATAATCAACACATTAATCACTCTGATCCCTTATCGGCCTTAATGATACCTCAACGTGAACTACCAAAAATACAAGGATTCGACAAGGACAAGAATTCGACTACAACGGCGTAAAACCTAAGCAAGCTCAACTACTCAAAGGCGAATGGCCGGTTAACCTTGAAAACCAGCTTAAAATACAAGATTTTATTTTTCCGGCTTACAAGACAAGTGTTAACAAATTCCATTCACTTTTTAGATGATCGATTAGATGTTGGATCCACAAGGGGAAGTTTTTATCCTATGGTAGAAGAAGTTATCGTTGAAGAGCCCTTAGTGGATTTAAAAAGGGATGTACAACCCAAAGAAGGAGAAAATGCTGTAAGTATAATGTATAAGATGTCAAATTAGGTTAATAAATTCGATCATTTGTAATACTCTGATTTCTGAGTGCATACAAAAAACTGAGTGCATCTGTTTACATAATATCCTTTCCCGGTGAATTTCTGATTTTAAAATCATACTGTGAAAGGTAATAAACTAGATCACCTAGTTCTTCATCTGTTATCGATTTCATCTTAAGATTTTCTAAGAGCTTATAGTCGGATATAAATTCAAATTTGTGACCGAGTAACCAATGTTGCCAATAACAAAGTCATTCTTTGATAACTAAATATTCAAGGTATGTCGCTTTTTTTCTTCCTTTGAATATGCGTTAGCTTTTTCGAAAAGTAACCTACTGGGTGTAGTTCACTATCGTCCTGAGTTTGTTTTAATACAGCTCCTATGCCAAATACACTAAACGTCAAGCGGTTAGGATCAAAAATTACTAGAATAGGACTTGAACAAAGGTATTGTTTTATTTGAGAAATGGTTTGACCACATTCTGCTGACATTTGAAAAGGAGTGTGAGTTCGTGGAGTGGTTCTAAAAATTTAGTAGCATTTGGTAAATATTTATGATAAAAATTTATTTTCTCTAAGAATTTTCTTATATTTTTTTTTATTTTTAGGCTTTGGAAACTCCTTAATTGACTGTTAATTATCATGGTGAGGCCTGACCGTGTTATTCTCCAATTATGTTCTAAATATGTAACTAAGTTCTGTGCACAGATACATTTCTGTAGTTTAAATTGTATTCCCATTCCTTGAACAGCCTTCATCAATTTTTTGTAGGTTATAAATTATCTTCAAAAGTTTTGGAAAATATTAAAATGACATCTATATAATTCATGCAACAGTCATGCAAATCTTGAATTATATTTGTCAATACTCTCTAAAAAAATTGCTGGTGAAGTTTTGAGACCAAATGGTAAACATGTCCATTGAAAATGTCCAGTTTGTGAGACAATGGCAGTTTTATACCTGTCCTTTTCTCTTATAGATAGTGCACAGAAAGCGGAATTGATAACCAGAACAGAAAACCATTCACAGTTTCGTGATTTAACAACAATATCCTCGATGTATGGAAAAGGCTGAGATTCTGGTTTGAGAAGCTTGTTTAGCTCTCTGAAGTCAATGCACTAGCGAGTTCGACGTCCTTCTTCTTTTTGTAAGGTAAAGTTACAGGTGCTGCAAATGGGAAATTTGTTTCTTCAATTAATCTAGTTTCCAACAATTGTTTGATTTGTTCCGCTATTTCGTTTTGATCTGAAATAGAACACCTGTAGGGTTTTTTTGAGATGTATTTATTTTCTAATATTTTTAAGTGATCTTCGTGAATTAACCCGACCAACATCGTACCTGTTCATGGCGAAAACTGACGAGTGCTTCTTTATTATTTTTGCCAATTCTTCTTTGTTTTCTTTGTCTAAATTGCGTAAAGTATCATTAACGTTGATATTTTCATTAAAATTTAAAACTGCATATTTTTTTCTTCAATAGTATGTTTATTTATGTTTCTTCGAGACGTTAAAAAATATTCAATTGATCGTCTTGGATTAGATGGAATTTTTGAATTCCATCTAATCCAAGTAAAAAATCACATAAAAAATTATTGTTTTTAATATACTTCTATTTCTTTTTCAATGTTATGAATTTTCAGAATTAGCGTTATTTTATTATAGCTTACTTCTACACCACTAATTGTTTTAAATAATTGCCGATTTTTGATTAGGATATTTTTAACATTTTCTCGTCTTGAATTAACCAAGGTTATATTCGAACTTGTGTCATACACTCCTGTGATTACTTTATTTTTGTTAAGAATAGCCTTTAAACGAATTAGTGGTGTCACAACTAGTTTTTTTCTTTAGTCTCATCATTTTCAGTTTAATTTACTCATCTTGGTACTGAATACCGTTTTTTCTTATTCCTACATGTTTCAATAGGGTGAAATCGACCAGGTTTACCTAAAGATTCCCAAACCACACAAGGCTTCTAATCATATTGTTTTTGACCAATATTAAGCTTATTTGGATGTTTTTTTTATTTTTAATAATTTGATTTATTGTACTCTTATTTTCATTCTTCAATTTAGAATCAACAGAATCATATCGTCGTAATTGGTTCATCAATTTCCCCCTTGAATTAATTTCGTCTTTGTCCAGCCGACTTTGAATATGAACCGGCAGTCCTACAACTATATGATTGATTCTTGATAGATCGATCATGTCATCTTGTACTTCTAACAGCAGTCTCTCTTTTTTTTTAAAGTATAATCCATAAGGGATCCCCTCAGATAGTGAAACTGTCTGCCTGCTTTTGTCAGAGTAAGTTATTAGAAATGAATAACGCCAATTTATCCACTCCTCTAAAAATATACAGTTGTATTTTTTTGTCATCGTTTTTCACATCGTGACGTGAAGCTCACATTCTTGTTCATACATGAATAGTCAGTCCACAGAATTATTATTTTTACCGTAAAATCTGTCAATAACAAACAACGATGGAATTTGTGATAAATTTAATTCCTTCTTTTCAAGTTGTAGTTTTAAATTTTGGACTAATTCGAGTAGATCTGCTTGGCTGGTGGACAGTTCAGTTGTTGCTAAGCTACCTAGCTCCTCTATTTTAACCTGCTCTTCTAAGAAATAATCTTTGAATACAGCGTGATCAGAATCAAAATATGTTGCAAACATTTCAAAAGTTAGCGTAACTATTACATTTCTATATTGACTACTTCGTGTTAAGTTCTTGCAATTATTTAATAGTACTTACTTGAAATAATTGCTGATGGTGTTTTTCATTTTGTACCTCAATCGGGCATACATATGATGTTTCATTCGTTAATAGCCCGATGCTTTTAACTTTGTTTATCAAATTTCTTTCATCGTCTTCCTTAAGGATATGGTATTTTACTTGGTGTTTCATCTTGAGAAAAAACTGATTTATAATCTTATTCAGTGTTAACTGTAGAACTACAGACTGCTTTGCTTTCACAAAACAAGACCTTTATTAAATAATACACTAAATCTTAAAACTATACCTACCTGCAAAACAAAATCAGTTTTTAAGTACAATGAAACAACACTAAACACTTAATAATTTGAAATAATAGCAAAACGTAACATATGGTTATTTATAACATCATGTGTTACATGTATGAATTAAATAATTAACTTACAGGTGAGGATTCGTTAGAACCTGAAGCTTCTTTACATATATTTTCTTAAACCCTTACCACTTGAACCAATTTCTTCTTGATAATATTATATATCTCACGATTACTAACTTTACCAGTGTAAACGTTTATTTGACTTTATGCAAATTATAAAGTGATTTTTTACTTCCACTTATCTATATATGTAATACATACAATAGTAAGATATAAGGAAAAGTATTGCAAACGTGAAAAATTTCGAATCTGAGTTTTCAATATCTGAGTTAAATATTCAGATATACTTTATACATCTCTAGGCATTTTCGGTTGGCAGAATGACTAACCCTGATTTCAACATTCTTTATTATTAATTTTAGTGATGTTTCGAGTGGCAAAATTTATACCTTTATTTACAGACCTATATTTCAACACTGCAATCACCTACTCTCGAATCAACTTACTCACTGCCTGTACAAATAAATTTTACAACTAGAAATGTAACTAAAATGACATTACTCAAAAATGCTGAAATTAGAATTAGTCATTCTGTCAACTGAAAGGCTCAGAGATTGAAATTGTGTGGTTTATAAAAGCAGATGGAGTAACTAGATTTTTATAGCCTACCGTCGATAAACTAATAATAAATAATAAATAAACTTTTTATAATTTGAATGATCTTAATGATTTTTTATCCGTAAGTTTTAAGCTTTAGCTCTGTTTAAAATGCACTTCAAAAATTTTATAATAGCCCAGCATTGCCAGAAAATAATTTCTTTTCAAAATAGAGCGCTATGTGAAAGTTGTGTGTTGCGCGCACCAGATTTTTTTTTATGGAATTTCCTTAATTTATTATAGTTATAATTTGTTTTAGTATCCCTACATTAAGCAGTAAGTGATTACACAAGAAGTCGAGTGTTTTTTGATAATACAGTAATAATATTACTCTACGGAGTAGATTACTTCTAAGCTCTCTGTCATACGGAATAAGAAAATAATCAATCTATTTAGTAATAATTATTTAACTATAAATTATTCTTCACTAAAACTAACACGGTCTTATAAGAATCCAGTGTCGGCTTTAGGGTGTGATGATCGGCGATCTTCAGAGGCGCTCAAAGTATTAAAAAAATACAATACATATTTAAATAATTATTTCTAGCCTATCAATAAAGCAACTGTACTAGTGAAATGTTGAATGGAATACAATTCAAATATTATATATTATTAATATTTGAATTTTATTCCGGTTAAGTAATGAGTAACAAATTTAATTTTTTTAGCTGGGGATGACGTCATTATCCGGAGGGGGGCGCCGAATGTCTAAGGCCGGCACTGTAAACATCACTTCACTAACACTAACAAGGACTTATAAACATCACTTCACTAGCATTAAAATTCGTTATTATTGTTAAGGATCTTTTTCAACTTATGGAAGGGAATAGAATGAAAAAGAAGTGGTGGTGGAGACTAGTCCCATGCGCCAAGAAATCGTATAATCTGCAAGGCTATATTCCCTTACGAATAATAAGTTCTAAGACAGAAGTTGAGAGTGATAGACTATCTTCCCATGACTGGTGGACAAAATATTATGACTCGATTCGCATGAAGAAAACGTATGAGGTCAGAGATTTTACCTACATTTCATAAGCCCTTTGGTAGGTAATTAGTATTTCAACTAAGATAGATATTATATAAATCTTGCGAATAAGAGTGTATTCACATCAGTAAATACACAAAAGAAAGTATTAAATTTAAAATTTAAAATAAAAATTGTATTGCATTAATATGTGTTTGTTAATACAATCAAAATGATGTACCAAAGGATGTGAGAGAGGCCTGTAAGCGCCTACGCCAGTACTGCTTTTCCGTTGATTAAGTGCATTTTTTACCTGGCCACTTCAAATATTTTAAAAAGTAATCAGTGTTTTAAAAAAACTAAAGTAATCGCCAGATGTTTCATTTCAGGACGTTTTTCCTTGAATTATAAACGACGCTCGATTTTAAACTTGAACAATTTTTTTAACTCAAGTTAAAGTCCATGATTGAACACCACTTTGAGGCAGTGCGTTTACTTTTTTTTGTGCGAACATTGGCTTTTTTAAAATAAACAGTTACAGTTGTTTTTAACTCACCATTTTTAAATAATCATAAGTAACATTTTTTAAACAATGATTTCACATTTATTAACACATTTGTTTGAAGTGAACTTTCTCCTGAAAACATGAAGTTATCTTGGCCACAGTCACATACATGTCCGAAATTTTTTTTAAACTCTAATGGGTGAACCAATTACCTATATTTAGTTTTATCACTATTGGTTCATAAATCTTTTTTCGGTCATCTGGTTCAGCTGTTTGTTGTCCCATCAAAGGAAAACAAGAAAAACAATAATCTGACCTGCAAAAATGACATTTTAAAGGGATTTGAAGTATAATCTGGAGTTCCATTAATGGAAATTAGACACATTCTCTCTTCGGTTTGAAGTATATTTGTTAAAAAATTCAAGCTCCAAGACCTTATTTACCTTATAGGTATCAGACAAGCTGTACTTGCTATATAGATAAATTATAGTCAAAAGACTTTGTATTATTTATGTTATTATTGAATTTGTATTATTGTTCATGTGGATTATTTTCTTTGTCAAGGGGGAACACTCTTATTTGTTTATATATATATATTAAACCTAGACAATATATATATATATATATATTGTCTAGGTTTAATTTTATTTTTAGTATTTAAAATATTTCTTTGTAATTTATATTCCTTTATTTCAGAAGGATGAAGATCCACAGAACAATGTCACTGAAATAACAAGCGGAGGTATGAAAGCAAATGTCAAATTTCGAACCAAAGGCTTTAAGGTCAGTTACTGATTACAATATTTTAGACATTGGTCTCTTTAATTATTATTAGGTTTATTGTATTATTATTAGGAAAAAATTTAAAGGTGAAATTTAAAAATAGTCTATGAATTCAGTTAATCATCTTGAGAACACAAAAATATATTGGGATAGTTTTTGTAAAATTAACTTGTGATTCTATGAAAAGTCACAATTTTTTTTTAAGAAAACAACTTTTTAAAAAGATTTTCTTATGAGATTAAGGTGCCTACTAAATTCTCTTTATAGGCTATTATAACCCTCTGTTGGTTTTATGTACAATATATGATGAAAGAATTGGTGCATTTAGAAAAATAACCAATCTTCTAGAATCTAGATGAATTCCAGTAAACAAACACTAACAATTTAATGTTTATTTAATTTTTTTTTTTATTCATCTCCTATAATTGAGTGGCTTCGTATCAAAGAGGGGCATCTGTTATTTTTAAAAAGTTGAGAAAAAGTCAAATTTTGTTTTATAGGTTCAACTCAAACCGTCGCTGGTTATATTATTTCAGAACATTCAAGTTGAATTATTTCATTAAATCATTAGAGTTAGTTTAAATTGAAGCAGTTTTACAGAAAATTAGCTTTTTTCAACTTTTTAAAAATATCAGATATAAGTCTTTGAAATGAGGCCATTTAATTATATTTGTATTAAATATGAGATAATATTTATCTCAATAAAATTTAAAAAAACCAAACAACACAAAATACATATACTTTTGTACACAATATCATAGATTACTATTCAATATAGCTTATTACTATAGTATTAGTTTCTCAAATTTATCTATGCTTCTCAATATTTAATTAAAATCATTAATTGAGGTTTTAAATATTTTATATTTACAGATTTACAATGAAGAACTTGAAAAACAACCTGAATTTCATGGTTTTCAAGATGTACTTAATACGTTTACAATGTCTAAAACTTCATCTTCAGGAAAGACTACTATTTCTTATTTGATAAAGGTTTATTTCTTTGTTAATTAAAATTTTAAATATATTTTGATAATGGTTTGTTTTAAAATAAATCAGTATTAAGTATCCTGAAGCAGGAAGGACAGGATTATTTGTGAACAATACCAACTTGAGCAAGTTGATATTTATGAATATCTGGGAACTATCTTCAGTCGGGATGGGAAGATGGACCAAGAAGTTATGCATTGAGTGCTTAAAACTAAGCAGGTCGTCTTCAAAATTTCCAGAACACTGGTGGGCAAGCAAGAGGTGAGCAAAGAGGTCTTCTGTTAAATATGTCTTCCTCCCAGTATTGTTTTATGGAGCTGCGAGCTTGGTACTCTTGGACAAGAATACCTCACAAGTGACATCAGCTTAAATGAGGTATCTCAGAAGAGTTTCTGGAAAGACAAGACGAGATTGTGTGAGGAACAGGACAGTTAGAGATACTCTTGGAGTTAGACATGTAAGAGATATCCTAGAGGAATGCCAGCTCAAGTGGTATGGACATGTCTGCAGGATGGGGGACGAGGGTAGAGCTAGTTGGCTAATAGAGACCAGACTGAGGAAGCAGCGACCAGTTGGACACCCGAGTATCACATATAATGGTTATATGGATAGACTCGGACAAGAGCAGGGGTCGTCCCTGGAGGAGATGAAGAGGAAGGCCCAGGATAGGGACACATACCAAAGGTGGGCCGAAAGTCTACTCCACGTTTAACAGCTCAAAGAAGTTAGAGAAAGAAGAAGAAGTATCCTAAAAAAGAGATAGGTTGTTACTGTCTTAATTCAATTGAGAGATGTTAGCTAGAGAAAAGCAGAAGATGAGTAGAAACATATAAGAAAATAAGTATAACAACTTAATTTTCATAGATATTTTAACTTTCAAAGCCACATTTTAGAATACTCATGATATATATTATCTCATCAGCTCATAATGACATTTGTTAATTGTTATTTCACAAGGGCACCATGTTGTGACCAGAGACAGATTTGGATTGAACTCAGGCACCTAGTTTAATATCTCACTTTGACCCATAAAGATTTGTTTTAATTAACAAAGCAATCTTTATGTAACAGGACCTATTCTTGATATATTATTTTAATATATACCTTCGATAACTTAATTTTAATTTCTTTTATTTTGTATTATAACTAAATGGATATATTTCGTTGATATTTTTAGGCTGGCGTTTCTCTTTATGATTGGCCTGCAGAGGATAAGGTATCTGTTGAAGGATTTGGCTTAGAGCAAGGAATATTCCCTCCCTTGGCAAAGGAATTGAATGCAGTTATATCTATAGTGATCAGAGTTTATATAGTGAGGGGTCATAAACTTCACAGTAAACATAGGTTGCTTTTTTTTTTTCATAACATTCTATAACATAATATACATATGTTTTTCATCATATCTCTCTTCTTTAGCTTCCACAATTAGAGATCTAGCAGCCCAGTGCCATTCTGATTTGAACTGCATTATATTTCTTCTATCTAGTATGCAAGAGCATAAATTTAAATGTATTGCATCCATGAGTGCTACCGAATACTGAGTGGTGGAGAGTCTGCCACTCCTATTTGATAAAAATATTTCTTAAAATAGTCATGAAGAAAGTCAGAACAAATTTTGCAAAACATCCTTAATATGAACATAAATAACCCATAATATCCTTAATAATCATATATGTATTATAATATGAGCTAAGTGAAATCCATAAAATAGAATAAATGATTTTTTCAAATTGCTCATGTAATTTTTAATGATTTTTGTAATGATTAAAACTTAGGTACTTATAAGACTTGCTGTTACTCTCAGTTTTAATCATTACAAAATATATTCTTACATTTATACCCAGCGTAACTTTTTATTTTTACTATTATAAAATATAATCAAACTTTATACAATAATTGTGAAATAACTCAAAGTAAATATTGATAGAACATAAAACAAAGATAAAGTGAATTTAAGTCTTTCATAGTACTTGTTCTAACAGCCTTTGAAAATCATCACTACCTTTTATTTTCATCTTCCGTAAAAAATGTTTTAACTAACTCAGAAAGCTTTTTAAAAGAAAAATAAATTTAAAATATTAGCGCTTATACTATAAGATATAATTCATTAAGATGTTTTGATAAAATTTTCAGTTTCTTGCATGCTGTTATAATTTCTTAGATTAATTGCCAATATTTTTTTTTATGATAAAGGTTGTTGTATCCAGCAGTCCTTATTTAAAATTGTAATTCATTTTCAACTTTTCACAGTTCTTTTCTCATCAATTATTTATGAAGTGATCAATGAACCAAGCCTAACCAACTTGGAAATGACCAAACTAACGTCATTTATATGGCCGTATAGTTCAGATCATTTCTTCAAGCCCTCCAATTTTCCTCAGCCATTTTCAGATGCAACAAAAGTGGGGGACAGCTTTGGCTGTAGCTCCAGTGTTTGGATCTCGAAGAGGAACCAGCCCAGTCTACCAGATTTTACTTATTCTTTTTTTTTTTCTACTAACATATCATTACACATTGATAGTACCACAACAAAAGTTTTTATTTTTTTTTTATTTTAATGAAATTTACAACTGTATTACATAGAAAATACTAAAAATAAATGTGACATTGGTAACATGACATGTACAACATTAAGAGAAACTACCCATTGGTACAACTCAAATTAAAGTTCTATATTAGAAGGACCCGAGGCCATCTTCTTTTCAGATGCCTGGGAGGGTTATGAGGGATTAAGGAGGAAGCAAGATTTGAAACGAGAGGATTCGGATGGTTCTGCAGTTTGTTATGGAAGGATAGGTATCTGGATTGGGCCAAATCGGAAACATATGGAACATTAAGGTCTTTATGGATGATTTTATTTGTGACAAAATAAGGAGCGTTGAGGATTTTACGAAGGATTTTGGATTGTAAGGATTGGATACGAGAGGAATTCGATGGTTTAGTGGAGCCCCAAAGCTCAATTGCCTCACACAGCAAAAGTAAATGCAAAACCTGAAATTATTCATAACATGACAAAATAAACCATGTAGTTTTATAAAGTAAAAATTACCTTTGCATATTTACTGCATGCTAAAGATAAAGATGAAATGATTTAAATAACTTTTTTGGTTTGTATTTCTGAATATGCGACGGTCCAATATTGGCCAGAAAAGCTCAGATTGGCGCTTTTCAATAAAATTATACTCACCAGCTTTTGCAGAGTGGCTGTCGATATATTATTATAATTATAATTATCTAGCTTTACATATTTTTTTGTTGCATACATGATTTAGGAAAAGGTTGGAGTTCAGTGGTGAACTTAACATTTGGTGGTTGCTCATGAAAATTTGTCCCTGTGGGATAAATTTTGTTTAATTTCTGAAAACAAATTATTGTTGTTTGTAATTAATAATCCTTGTTATTTAAAATTGTATGTCTTAAATGTATTTATTTATTGAGCATGGAGATGGTGGCAATGGAAATAGAAACAGTTCCATGATGGGCCACTGGTGGCCCATGGAGCTAGGAATGGTTACTACCTACAGTCAATCATTATTAGATGCTATTGATTGAACACTGATTGAATTATTTGGAAATAATGGATTTATGTGGTGACTAGATTGTACAAACCTTGACGGATCCCTTCTCATCAATCAGACTTTCAAGATACTACATCATACTTATTTCAAGATACTACATATCTTATAATAAGATAGGTCTCAAGTGTGACACTTGAGATGGTGGTATGGACTGTATCTGATGTTTGTGGACGTAAAGAGTTGACTATAGCCAAAGGAAGGCCAGAGAAGAGTTTTAACAGATGGAGACACTTTGAAAAAAATTATTTATGTGCCACAATCTCCTTTGGTGCTGCCCTTATTAAGAAAATAGACATTAAAATTCTGTCCATGACATCTCCTGACATTGATCCAATTGAACAGGTTTTCCAATAGAAGAAATGTTCACACTCTCCTCTATTAAGGTATAATGAACACTTGTGACTATTGTATGAAAGTCAGACAGTTCATACCAAAGAAGTGTAGATCTGGGTTAGGTCCTTTTGTTGTTGATCTTGATATTTTATGCATGAATGCATTAAAACAACCCAAACTTCTATTGTCCTCTTGTTTTTCGCAATCATATGAAATATAATTTCATAAGATCGGAGGACTGTGTCTAATAATATGTGTATGTTTCATCTTTCCGAAGCTAATTAATTATATATAAACTTTAAGAGAATAAATAATAATTATTGATATTTTGTTTTAGATACGGTAAAGTGGATCCCTACATTATTGTTTCAATACCTTCACACACAATAAATGATATCAAACAAGTTATTCAGCAGGACAGCAATCCAGTGTTTGGAAGGTACAGACAAAAGTATTAAAATTTTTTTTTTTTCATCTCGATCCAAAATTCATCAAACTTCTTCCTTTTTAATCGTATTTCATGATATTGTTTAACTTTAACATATTATAAAAATAATACAGACATGATTCAAAACAGATGTCTCAATTTAATTTATTTTACACGCTTCTTTTGAAAAATTTAGTTGAATTATGAGTATAGGTGTAGACTTCGGGAGAGCAGGGAGAGAAGGAGAAAAAAAAATCAAAAACAATTAATCTACATGAATGAATATAATATGTAATATAAAATCAATAAAGAAAATAGAAAGAGACGATTAGATGGCTAAGTTATGAGCTAGAAGTAGGTATGCTAGTATTTTACTACAGCCTTTGTTCCTATTATTGAAATTTTAGTTTATATTCAAAGATGATTACATTTAGCAACATGTTCTTTTTTTTTTTTTTTTTTTGGGTCCTCCCCTTCCTCACTGTTAAGGCTATACGGGGTTTTCCCGGGCCAGAGGTGTGGGCGGGGGATGGACGCGAACTCATGACGGGTTTTATTCAATATATCTTATATCAGGTTGCCGGGCAACAGTGGTGCTGTGCACAACACGTTATCCCATTCGGCCACCCCGCCCACTAGCAACATGTCCTAGGATTTTATGAATCATCCATGTCTACCCTTCGATTTTTAGTTTAAGATTTGATCACATTGCCCGCAGCAAGTGTGAAGCATAGGAGAATTGAGAATTCATCTCACTACCTCAAATATATATATATATATTGTATTCTGTTGTTCGTTTTAAAATAATTATTTTATTTATCACTCATAATTTTTATAATAATATAAACTCGAGACTTTTTTTGGGAGGAGGAAATGTTAAGTTCACCAAATATTAAGTTCACCACTCCCCCCCCCCCTTCTCCAACCATAATGGAACAGCCTGTGCTTATGTTTTTTTTATTTATTATTATTTTTTTTCCCTACTCCTGTTGACTTCGACTTTTTAAGTCATGAGTCTTCTTCATGCAGCTTGGGACTGTTATAGGTGACAGAAGTGATCGTTTCGTTCCCTCATCTTTGAGATATCCAGGGAGCACGTGGTTTACTAACCGGAAACGATCACATTTCTCTTCTTTTTCATAAGGAATTTTCTTGATGGATGATTGGCAATCGTTTGCTTCAATCTTTCGCCCAGTTTTTTTTATGGGATAGAGGGTTATCAGCCCTATACTCAACTCCCAACCTGAAGGACCAGGAGGTACGGTGTAAGGCACAGAGGTCGGTCATCTCTCTATGAATCTCAAGGTGGGGATGTTATCACCTCCGTGCAGGAATTGAACCTGAGCCGTAGTGGTCTAAGTAGTCGTGTAGGGCCTGCACTTATTAATTTTAATTTATTATTAATTTTTTTTTTAAGTTAGTAATTTTTCCCGAACGGGATTCGAACACTTAATATAATGTTTTTTCAGGGGCCTTAACTTACTCGATCACCGATTCTCTTTTCCGCCTATATATGTTATAGGAAATCTTTTTATTACTATATTAAGTCATATTTTCTAAATTATCTTCTTAACCAATTTCAATAATAATTTATATTCAAAACATGATTGAAAATTTTATATTATTTATATTTCTAAATAAATATTAACAAGTTTAAAATTATTTCAACAAGTTTTGTAATGAAATACGCAGGTTTTTTGAATTTGAAGGAAAGTTGCCATTTGATTCTATTCTTACAATTAGCATAATGGACAAAGCTATTAATGAATTGATTGGTGAGACTGAAATAGATATTGAGAATAGGTATTATTCCCGTCATCGAGGCACCTGTGGAATTCAGAAATCATATTTTAAGTAAGTAGGATTAAAAGATTTAATTTGAATTTTAATATTAAATCTTCACGGAAATATTATTTTTTTTCCGTATGGGATGCCAATAACAGTTGTGAGGTTGTTATAAAAGTGTATGTGCATTAATTCATTGTTGAAATTAAAGTTATTATTATTATTATTTAGGCAAAAACATTTCTTTTTAACTAATTGAAATTAAAAATCTTGATTTAAATATATACAAATAAAAAGTCATGAATCTTATAAATAGGAAGGAAGTATAAATTGGACAGAAAATTTTTTATGGTATTTGGGAGGCAGCTATTAAATCCGCTAAGAGACACTTTCTTGCCGTTCTCCAGGATCATGTGTCAACATATGAGAAATTTTATACACTACTGGTATGAGTTGAAGCTGTTATCAATTCCCATCCAATCTGTAATATTAGCAGTCAGCTATCGGATACTCTTGATTACCTCACCCCAGGCCACTTTTTTATAGGTCAACCCCTCCTAGCCAGACCGGAACTAGAAGATGCGGCTGTTTCCTTTGACAAGCGGTTGGAAGATGATTTCCAAGACTTTGTAGTTTTTGGAAAAAATGGTATAATGAGTACCTCCACAATCTGGTACCTCGCAACAAGTGGTGTATTGACAGGGAAAATATAAAAGAGGGAACCTTAGTTATTCTACATGAAAAAGATGTTCCACTGCAGGAGTGGCGGCTTGCCAGGATAATTGAGACACTTCGAGGGCCTGACGGTGTAGTTAGGGTGGTAAAATTGAGGACTGCTACAGCCACTTTGGTGCAACCTTTGCACAAATTAGTATCTCTCCCTTCTGGAGAAACCTTTTATTGATATGTGTATTTTTTCTTTTCTTAAATTTAATGAGAAGACTTTTTTTTTATTATTTATTTTTTTTTTATTATTTTTTTTTTCCCTCTCATTACTACTCCAGCACATCTGCTGATTGTCTATAATAATTGACAGGTGCGGATAAATATATGTAAGTGCGAAGAAGAAAAAAAAATGAGGAGACATTTTATTTTAAATGAATTGTAATTTATTAGCCTATCTATATGCGGAAATTTCACCTGGGATATGCCAACCTGAGATCGGTGAGCCTCCCAATACTTGCATTTGCTGATGACATTGTTATTTTTTCGGACAGTGGCAGGAATCTTCAGTACAATATTAATAGATTAAAAGAAGAATTGCAGAAGATTAATATGATTATCAACTCTGTAAAAATGAAAGTAATGAGGGTTGGGAAGAAGCCTAGAAGAAATATGCTCGTCATCAGAGTCGAAGACAGAATCCTCCAGCAGGTGGAAAACTTCAAATACCTTAATGAAAATGGATGCATCGATTCAGAAGTGGCTGAGCGAATCGCTGCTGCGAGCAGGATGTTTGAAGCAGTTAAGAGAGGTTTTCTGAACAGGCGCGAGGTGGAAAAGAAAACAAAAGTAGCCATTTTCTTCCCATTTTAACGTACTCTTCAGAATCATGGACACTGACAAACAAACATCGATCAAGGATACAAGCGTCAGAAATGCGATTCCTCCGAAAGATTGAGGGGGAAACGAGAAGAGATAGAGTACGCAACACCACCATCAGGTCGAACCTCAATATTAAGCCGGCCAATGATGTGATTGAAGAGAATCGACTGAGATGGCTAGGACATCTTCTGCGGATGGAACCGAACAAAATAACTAGCAAAACCTATCAATCTAAAGTAGACGACAAGAGAAAAAGAGGACAGCCTAGAAGGAAATGGGAAGATGAAGTAAAGAGCGATTTCCAGAGAAGAGGTCTTCAATGGAACGATAGAAGGCGTCTTGTTGAAGACCGGCAGAGCTGGAGAAGGCTATATAAACTTCCTCCTCACACTGCTTAATGCGGTTCAAGAGGATAGATTATGATGATGATGATAGCCTATCTTTGATTTTGCTCACTTTTATTTCTAATTTTCCAAAAATATATTTTGAATAATTTTTCTCTTTCTTTATTGTAAACCAAGCAATTTTCCTCTCGTTTGTGCATTATCTGGTAATTACCAATCTATGAGATTGTGTTTTTTTTTGTTTTTTTTGTGAAATGAGATATTTCATGGTGGGGGATATGTTTTGTGTGAATGCTATTATACACGAGTGTCGAATACCCAAGTAATGAAAACAGATCAGGTAAGATAAGATTTAATCCACTCCAGCTATGAGAGGCTCTGAGACCATTCCAAGGTGGAAATTCCCAGAGATAACAACTAGAGCAGATTGGAGGGCCCTCTCAGTTAAGTAAGATATCTATGGCAGCATAAAAGGGTGAGTTTTATTTTGCACAATTCGTATAACCTATCAGTTTAATCAAAATACAGTCCACTTCCAAAATAAGTCAAATGTTTCCTAAGTTGAACTCATTAGAGTTATTTGCCTTTACTTAAATTAAATTTGGAAAGTTGCCTAAACAATCATTGTCATGCTAATGATTTTTAGAAAAGGTTATGATGCTTGGAGGGATGTATATAAACCAAGTGAGATCCTATATTGGCTATGTCTGTCTAATAATATACCAGCACCAAGATACACACCTGGGAATATTATGGTAGCAAACAAGACATTTGGAACTGAAAAGAGCAAAATGGAAGGTAGTACTTATGCTATAGGTTAGTTATAGCTCATTATATATCAAAATGTCAAAGTTTATTTGTATAAATAGGTTTTAAACATTATATTTTAATTATTATTATAAACTTAAGTGGGAATAGATATAATGGATTATTTTAGAAGTATTCACCGGGCCTCCAAATCTCTAAACCGGCCCTTGGTATCAGTCCCCTTTCCTTATGATATACATGGTATTTCGGTGAAATTATTTCACAGTGGTAGATATTTTATATGAATACAACAAAAGATATTTTAAATTTCAATTTTTAAAAAACTTTAAATATAAAATGATACTACTTTTAAGGGATACCTTGTAACCTTGGTCTCTATTATGATTAATCTTGCAACAGTCCCTTCCCCTTCCTAGTGGGAATTTTGAGTAATGGATAATCAATTTCTTATTTCAAGACTGCACAGATTGCTTCTAGAACTCTTAAAAATATATCTAATATTTAGTTTTAGGCCATAATATCTATACCATGACCTGTATGATGAAACTTAAAAGTGACCAATACTGTGTGGTTCTCACTGTGTTCGTGAAAGACTAGGCTGTATTGGCTTGTGATAAGAGGGCTGCTGAAAGAGTGTTTGACATTGTACAGAGGACTTTTACAAAATTGGTTTGGTTATAAATCCTCAGAAAAGTGTGGGTATCGTTAAAATATGGAGATACAAATAATTATTTAGGATTTACATTCTCCAGAGAGCTACAGTTCAATGAAGATTTAGTGACCAAGTTAAATGAAAATCTAAATAAGTTGGTAAGCTTTTGTTTGCTTGAACCGGAGCAAAAACTAAGCGTTGTCTAGCAGTATCTATTCCCAGGTGCTACTTTCTCCAAACTGCACCCCTCAAAAAGTACTTGGATTCCTGGGAACCATCTACCATATCATATGTATGATCAAAGAGGAGGTGAGAAGTGATTCAATGGGAGAGCATGTTTATATATTGTTACAGCTCTAGAAAAATTCATTTGAGCTTGGTTTTAGACCTCAGAAATGCCTTCTTAAGTTTGCATATGGTGGAAAATTGTATACTCCACACTATTGATATTTGATTTTAGCTATCTTTAAAAAAAAAAATTGTTAAGCTCGAATGTCAAGAATTAAAAAAAATACTTGTGTGGCACTTTATGTTTTAAATTTAGTGTTAACTAGGTTTCTGTAGTTTCATTAATCATAATGTTTACACATTTATTACGAATACTTCTTATCAAGTCTAAATACCAAGGTTGAATTGTTTAATCCCTATTTTTTAAAATTCAATGTAACACATGAAGTTAAAGAGAACAGTAATATTTAATTATAAATAAAATTTTTATGCAATACCATTTCAATAATTAAAAGAGAGACACTTAATGGAAGATTAATGACAATTAAAATAATGGGAATTCTCACAATCAGAATATTATCAAGAATGGCAGTGAGAAGAAGGTTATGCTTTATTCTACCATTCATTAACCTCAAAGGGACTGTAACATAACTAATGCTTATTTTATATTTCCAATTAAATTATTAAATTGAACAATATACTATCTGCTTTGACTATTAGCAGTCATTCATTCAACTGAGACACTAGCAGATTGATGATTTAATTTTCGGAGGGAGGGGTGCTTCAGCTGGAAAGATTTTTTTTCATATACATAGAACAATAATTAATTAGAAAAAAAAATAAATTAACTACCTATATGAAATGGTGTTTAAGTGGTTCTTGAAGTCCTATTAAATGTAATTACATGAACAAGAATACTTTAAGAGATAGTTTTTAATATTTTTTCTGTGAAACATGGTTATATTTTACCATTTGGGGAGAGGAGGGAGAGGGGAGCTTCAGCTGAAAAGCCTCCCCCCTTAGACCCACCTGTGAACTGAGATATAAAACCTATTTTTAACAATGGCCCTCATATTGGATCCAGAATATTTATTTCTATTTCCATTAAAATTTAGTAGTTAGTTAATCCTAATTCATGATAATAAATACTAATACAAGATTCAATAAATATAATTCTTTATGCCAATAATTGTAATGTAGCTCTACAACAACAATCCTTGAATAGCTTTAATGTTTTTTATTTTATGGCTCTAACATATTGATGAATTAAAATTTCTGAAATTTTATCGTGTTGAATTCATTTGTAAAATTTTAATTTTGTGAAATATGTCTAATTTTTAGTTATATAAAATATCAAAAACAAAAAAGAAAAATATATTTTCAGATCGGAAAGAAGAACTTGCACTAACAGTTTTACACAATTGGCATAAAATTCCTTTTGTTGGTGCAAAGCTTTTACAGGAACATATTGAAACTAGATCTCTTTATAACCCATCTTTATACAATGTAGAGCAGGTAAATAACTAAATTGTTTTATTATTTCCTGAAATTTTATGTGTAAGAGTATTTTTATTTTTATTTTAATAATTAATTTAAATATTTTAATTATTGATTTTAATAAATTGAAGTGTGGAAATGCAAAAGGACCTTCAGAAAAATAATTTCAGAATCCAAGTTTTAAAAGAATATGTTTTAAGTACAAAGGAACTTTTTCTCTGATTGTCTGTGATTGTACAAGTACTAAAATTACATTTTTAATATATGTAATTTGGAATAATACCTTTAACTAGAAAAAATATAATAAATCTATGAATTTTGCTGGAGGCATTTCAGACCGCTTTGACCATCCACATTTCAATTAATGAATTACTATTCAAAATTATAAATTCTATATTTATTTTTATTATTTCACTTGTTGTTGGCATAACTTTATTCTACATTAATACAGAAATAATCTATTAAGTATTTATAAATTTTGATCTTTATTATGAAATAAATATATCTATTCCAAAAACAAAAAGCAGGTGAAAATGTTCAAAATTTTGTATTTCAATGAACTGCACAAAATAATCAGGATAGGAAGTACATTAATTGTAATCAACAGTATATCGATTATCTTGTATGAAAGGACAGCCCATTATTTTTTTGTAAACAGTACCTTTTTTTTCTCTTTTCCATTTACTGTGGGGAGTTGTCCTGGACGTATAATCAAATCTATGCAGGCCAGAGAGGGAAGGTTAAGATTCAGTTAATGAGCCTGGCATGAAATATATTTTATTTAGCCCCAGACCAGATTCTTAACTGGCGCACAGTGTGGCCAATTGCTGATCTAGGAGGAGAAAAACAACTTTCAAAATATGAGAAATTTAATGTAGCATCCTTCTTATAAATAGGTGGTGCCCTATGGAATAATAACAGTGGTCAACAAAAGTTTTTGTGCACGCATGGGTTGAAAATAACAAAATGAATAAAAGTATTCTTTACTACATATTTTTTTTATTTAAACATATGACATCAATACCACTTTTATTAATTTTATCAAAAATACTTGCCTAACAATAAATACATCTCTCATTATATAAAAAAGATTTTAGTGACCATATAATATTTTATTTTACATGTATAAAAAGCGGGACAGACTCTAATGAAGACACCACATTTTTTATTTCCAAATTTATTTCTCCACTATTTATTTTTCCAGATTTATTATAGTTATAAAGTTGCAACAAGAGTAATTATAATAATATAAATTGCCAATAAGGCGCAATTAAGATCACATTTTCAAAATCACAAATTAAAAAATCACATTTTTATTTGCCAATAACTTATAAAGTACGCAAATAATACTGAACTGTATTGAAGTGAATCTATGAGTATATAAGACTATAAAAAAAATGTTAAAAACAAGCACATTCATTTATGTTTTCCTTAAGTGTTCAATAATGATTGTGGTCATATTTCGACTACTTGCTGAACACTATTATATTGAAATGAAATAAATCGATTTGATTCATTGAATCTCGATATTTTTAATCTTTGAAAAGAGTAGGGATGTGAATTTCAAAGTATAATATTGATAATTATCAAATACATCGAAATATTATTTAAAAAAATGACAATATTTTTCCGATATATGTTTTTAATTATTGGAAGAAGGGGAACAGAATTAAAATTAAATTGAATTATAAGATTTGTAACAGGTTACAAGTTATTAAATATTAACTTATCAAAAGGAACTATTTAATATTTATATAATGCTTATCACCCAAAAAGTATCAATTTATTAACACTAATTCATTAAAAAAAAAAAAGTTATTATTAGGAACTAGACAAAATAAAAATAAACTGCTAAACATAAAAAAAATATTGAATATTCGAAAGAAATCTATATTGAATGAATGACTAAAAATATTGTAAAATATGACCATAAAGTATTATTATTAAAAGGCTGATTGCTGAGAACTAGAATAAATTAATTACATTTCTGAACATAAAAATATGAAGAAAATTACAAATTATTTAATAACTGAAACTTATAAGAATAGCTTGCATTTTAATGATAAACCAAAATAAAAAGAAGGAAAAACGTATTACTAAGATTTAAAAAGAAAAGAAAAAGCTAATTAAACCAATATATCTGATGCTAATGTGCTTAGAAACAATACATTTTTTATATTTCTATACATTACATCACCATCCTTGTAGCTTATTTAATTATTTTTTATTTCTTCAATTTATTATTTGGATTAAGTTTTGATTTACGATAGCAAAATTTCAATATTAATATACGAATATAACATCATTGGAAAAATATATCGAATTTTCGATATTTTCTTTTTATCATCCCTAGGCTGATGGCCTAGTGCGTAAATTCAGAACTTAATCGCTAATGTAAGAAGCTGATTGTACAGCTTTGTTAAGACTTTCATTCTTATTGTTAAGAGAGGTTAGGGCATGAGCCTTATGTATTAAAATTCGTTTTGTGATTAAAAATGTATGAAGCGAAAAAGTATTGTTCAAATAAGAAAATAAGAATACAAAATATTTTTAGGTATAATTGATAGGTTACAAAGTGTTTTTTGGTTGTTTATTTTTTTCCTTTAATGATGCCATTTTATTGAATTCGACAGGGCAAACTTGAAATGTGGGTAGATATTCTACCCTTCCGTTCCAAACTCCCACCACCTGTTGATATTACACCAAGAGCACCTGAAAAATATGAACTAAGAGCAATTGTATGGGGTACTAAGAACGTTAAACTTGTGGATGAAGGTTTGATGGTAGGCAAGAGGCACACAGATATATTCGTTAAAGGGTTAGCCACTAATTTCAAAATATTAAAATAATACTGTTGACTGATAAACTAGATTAGTATTACAATTCTGCAATCTAGAAAAAAGAATATCTTACCATTTTTTTTTTTTTTTTGCCACATTATAATTCAGCAATTATTTTACTATGATAAACAACTTTATTATGATTGTTCATTTTGTTTTAATGAGATATTTATTTAATTTGTAATGTTAACAAAATCGATCAGGGTATAAAATACCATGTGTTCCCCTTTTCTTATTTAAAAAAAAGTCCTTATCCAACCTTGATATGCTGCTGTGTCGGGGCAACCCATATTTATTTCTTAAATAGGTCTCATCTCTATCTGTCACCAACTTCTTAATTCCACCCAGAGTGAGTCCTCCATTTCCTTTTTCTTAGCTTTCCACACATATTTTTCTAATCTATTTATTGGTATTCTCATGGCCGAATCATCTAGATTCTATGGATGAATTTATTTTATTATTTTTTGGTTTCTCATTCGGTCCAACCTTGTTTTACTGGACACTTTCCCCTGAAATTTCATTTCTGTGGCTTCTTATCAACTATCTGCTCCATTGTTCAATGTAAGAATAAAGGCTTCATTTCAAACAGTCATCTTTGCCACTACCATCGGGAATATACATTAGTTGTTTTTTGAATGAGCTGATTTATTTTGGAATCTAACCTACCATCATTAATAATTTTTATTTCTAAGTATTGGTATACTTAGTTCTGTTTCAAATTAAAGTCTTTAAAGACTACATACAGTCCATTGTTTCTTACAACTGTAGTTTTAGACAGAAGCATATACTTTGTGTTGGTAGCATTAAAAGTCATCATTAGGAACTACACATATAAAATTTATAAAAATACCAAGTATAAATTTGTTTTCTAATCTTATAATTTTCACAGCTATTGAAAAATATATAGTAGCACTTCTAGTTAGCTGATTTTGACTCATTTATTATGAATAAGTACAATATTCCAGATGTCCTACTAGATATCCATCCCCTTGTTTTCTTTCATTTATAAATATATTACTGAAAAAGTCTACAAATACATTTAAAAGTAATAATTTGGTCTAATAAAAAATCTGATGAGACTATTTAAGGTAAAGCTTCTGTTATTTTGAATTAAGTATTAAATTTTCAATACAATACAATTTTTATGTTATATTATTTTCATTGTATTTAAGAGTTGTAACTCATAGAATTGTAAATTTCGTAAATGGGTGATTAATTATTTCTGAATCAAAATCAAGAGCCAAAGCTGGAGACCAGGTTTTATCAACCATGAGTAATATTCCAAATAATTGTGATATCTATTTTAAAAAATGTTTTTTTAAAGGTAGATATTTATAGATAGTTACTTACTTACAAAGTTGTTATTAGATTACTTCAATTATTTGTAGGTGGTTGAAAGGAAGAACGGACATTCAAAAAACTGATACCCATTATGCTTCTCTGACAGGTGAGGGTTTTTTCAACTGGAGGTTCATATTTAACTTTTCCTATGATAAAGAGGAAGAAATGATTGTGCTTGAGGAAACAAATAACAAAATTCCTCCAATTATTTATTTACAAGTATGGGATCGTGACCGATTTGTCTCAAATGATTATATTGGTAAGATTTATCATTATTATTAAGACAATTAATATATATATGTATATATATATATATATATATATATATATATATATATATATATATATATATATATATATATATATATATAATAAAATTTAAATATTTACTTGTAATTGTATGATATCATTAATAAAAAATTTAATTTATTATTAAATAAGGATATAGGAACAATTTTTGATGTGGTTGTACATTATTCTCCTATTAATCATAAATAAAGAAGTAACTAGTTAATTTTGTTCATCCGGCGGAATGTGGAATTTTGGAAAAACTGTTTTCTCAAGTTAAATTGTCAGAAAGACTTATTCAATCAAACCAACCTCATAGTGTAATATAAACATAATTTCAATATAATGACGAATTTTACATTGGTACAATCAAATTTAAAAGTGATCTTATTTGTATAATAATACTAATACTATTTTTTTCGGTCTCCTCTAAGATTATACTATTTGCAGTTACTCCACTGTTTCTCCAAATGACTTGAATGCATTAGTGTAATTTTGGACAGTATTTATAATAAATTTGAAGTCAAGTTGATTTTTCATTAATTAATATTACAGTCAGTAATTGCTTTTAAAAGATATTTTTCCTGACTTGTAGAAATGTAATAAAATAAAATTAGGTAGATAAAGATTGTAAATGAAATTTCACTAGAGTTGGATTGTATATTCAACCTTTTTAAATACTCAGACTTAATGGATGGCTATTCTAAAATTGCAACTCAGACTCTACCTAAGATATATTTTAATTTTAAAATTAAATTAATCACTTTTCTGCTTGAATTCATTTTAAAAAAAATTATATTGTCTTTTTCCTGATATATTTATGATTTGAAAATAATATATTTTTTATTTTATAATCTAATTAAATACCATCATTGCAGGTTCTTTATCTATTGATCTTCGTAATGTGCAATCACCTTCAAGAAACATCCCATACACTTCCAAATTCATGCATTTACCTAAATGGCAAGTGAATCTTTTTCGAATTAACAATGTTAGGGGTTGGTGGCCATTTATTGGCCCCTCCCGTACAAAGGTGGAAACTGTGGTAAGAAATCAAAATTTATATATTTATGATGTTAATGTATCCATTTAGTGAAAATGTTTCAAACCAATAAATATGTTTGTGGTGCTTGTTTATTGTTAGGGTTTTAGTGCAGTTTTGTGAACTTCTTCTTGGGCATTTGAAACCTACTGTTTTTTTCATTTTATTATGAAGAAGCATTTGTCAGAAAGGCTCTTTAGAAACAAAACAAGAGAGAGAGAGAGTTTGAAGGATACAGATTGAAATTCACAACATTCCACTTAATTCTCCATTCAAAAATGGATATAGATATAGATTTAATGAATAACAAGATTATTATGAAACTTACTTTGTAGATTGTTCTGATTATTTCTGTAAAAAATCTTTATAATATAATATATAATGATAAATATATTCTTTGTAGTTGTCGGTTAATGGAAAAACATAATTTTATATATAATTTTGCAAATTAATACAAAAACAAAATCCTCTTCTCCTGATTGTCAAGCAACTTAGTAGTTCAAGCTCTTTATGCATGATCCCTCTGAATCCTTTTTTAAATTCCGTTTTATCAGATTCATTATTAAATTCATACCAAATTTCTAACCCTGTTCACTAAACAGTGTTTGTTTTGTGAAGTGTTCTGCTTTTCATCTTTCTTCAGTAACATCATTCTACAGTTATGATTTTTAGTTATGCTATATCACTTCTATATACCTTATTTTCTCCTCTATTGCCAACTCCACTGTTACATTGTTAAGATTATACCTTGCAGAAATCATGCCAATACTTCTTTACATCTACTATTTCTACCATTTTCCTTCAAAATGAAGTTTATATGTTAGAATAAAGTTTTTATCCATTTTATTAATGAAACTCGAATTTTAAACTTCCTAGAAACTGTCCAAGCACTAACCTTTGTGACTGTCACTTCATTTACAAATGTTTAATTTTAATAGCACACACATAAGCTCTTTGTTTCCTCTCTTATTTTTCCCTCTGTGACCTCTTGATGGTACTCAAGACAGAATGAAGCAAATAATGAATTGCATAGTAAATTTTATGTTGAGTAACTCAAAGTAATCTTATTGCCCCATCTTTGCAATAAGTTACAATGGCTCTCCTTCCACCCATTTTCAGAGATCTTACATTTTCCGAACCATTAACACCCATATTTACAATATCTTCTATCATAATATCACAATCTATACTTAATACAATATAGAATATTTTTATATTGAATTTCGACTTTGGTTTTTATAATTATCATGTTTAAATAATTTTTTTTTCAAAAATAAATTTCAAATGTATAAAATTTTTTTTTATAGGGTGGAACTCACGTGTTATTCTTAAGTGACTAAGTCCGAAAAAATTTATTTTTCTGTTCTAAATTAATAAATTTTAATTGTTTTAGGGGATGGTTGATTTAGAATTACATTTATTAACTGCTGAAGGTGCTGAAAGAAATCCTGCTGGCCTTGGGAGAAATGAGCCCAACAGATTACCTGAACCTGTGTTAGTATTATGTTATAAAAATATTAAGATTTTTTTAAACATGTAAAAAAGATATTAGGGTTTTATGCCTCTTAGCAAAAACAAACAAAAATTTTTATAGGGCAACAATATATTTAAAATGTTTGACTATTTTATTTATAAAAATGCTCAGCAGCAGTTATTATTCATTATGAGAACAAATCATTACGCTCCTCTTCTAAATAATATTTAACATCAGATATGGGCTATATTTTTCTCTTAAGCTTTTGAATGTCCTGAATGAGAAAGGATAAAAAAAATTTCATATAATCATAATCCGCCTCAATAAATTTACCATAGATAATCCATTTTATAGTTTCTTCAGAGGATTTAGTTTTTGTAACTGGCACATACTATTATGGATGAGCAATATAAAATAATTATTTTTTGGATTGATTGACGATAAAGTCTTAAAAGAATTATATGCCTCAGTAATGAGGACCCATTATTTTTAGGGAGTGAGAAGCTCAGTGAGCAAGGTCCAAGATTCCTATACTCTAACTCCCTGTTCAAATTAGTGAATCTTGAGATATAATGTGGGTTCTTATTTGAATTATTGAAAAAGGTTGTAAACCAGGTGGCTGAGTGTGATCTTGGTCCTATCACCTTCCTGCAATACTGTTGGCTTTGAAAGAGTAATCCTTTACAAAGTACTGAACACTCAATCCTACATGAGTTGTAGTGGTGCATTTCAAAGGTATTGAAATATCAAATTAAGGGTGTACAATGCTATGATAAAGCCAGTTCTAATATATGGTTGTGAGATCTGTACACTAACCAGTAATCTAAAACCAGAAAAAAGAATTGAAAAATTTGAGAGAAAAGTCCTCCACACGATAACCAGAGCGATCTGGGATCAGAGTACTAACAGACGGAGAAGAAAAACCAATAAAAAGCTGCTTACAGAAACTAGTCATTCAATATCTCATGATATGAAGCCATAGAGGTTAAGAAAGGTAGAGCATGTAGTTCGTAGCAATCCATTTGGAAGCCTCTACATAACAATGAATGCCTCAATAGTAGACATAAGACCATGTGGAAGGCTAAAAAGCAGATCATCATATTAATTCTGCTACATGCTACTAGAAATAGCCCAAGATAGACAAAGATGGAGTAAGGTTGTTAAGGTGGCAAAATATCTACAAGGTCTGTAATGGCAACAGAAAAAAAAGAAGTGAGATTTTTGGAAAATGTTAAACAGTATTGTTATGTAAAGGTTAAAGGTTAGATACTACAGAACTTCTACTATAGTATCCTAGATTGAATTTTAATTTCTATTGAACTTTTTTTCCAGAGGCATCATGTTTACTAATTTTCAATTTGTATCTATATCTAAAAATTGACATGAAGAATATATACATATTTTTTTTTATTAAATTGACTGCTTTCAGGAATGTCTGTTTTGTTTTGTTATTTTAAATTAATCTGCAAAAAAAAAAAGAATAAAGCCACTCCAAACTCCACAGGAGAGATTTTTTGTTTGTTTTGTTTTAGTGGGTTTCAAAAATAATACTTCCCCCTGGCCCTTATGGTCTAGTCCTATTTTCTAAGATAAAGTAAAATAGTATGTAATGGAGGAATTGAAATATTTGTGAGCGAAGTCAGAGTTAACAGAATAAACTTTTTTCTGTTATTTCATCAAACCCCTTACGTCTTATTTTTAAAAATACATAACTTTTCAAAATGTATTTTAACAGGATTATTTATTAAAGATAATCATAATTTCTTTTTATAATTTATAATTTATTATAATAATATATCATTTATTTTTTGTCATTTATATTTTTAGTTGTGTATTTTATTTGAATTATTTTTATTTTTTTAGGCGACCCATAGTAAAATATACATTGTGGATTGTTCCTTTCCGTGCAATAAAAAATTATCTTTGGATGTACCACAAGAAAAAAATTCTGATGGGCCTTTTAACACTTTTATTAGTTCTCTTTGGTCTAATTGCATTTTATTCCATTCCTACTTTTACTGTGAAAAAAATGTTGCATGCATGAATCATGAATCATGAAATATATTGTACTTATTAATTTGTTTTATTTTTTAGATTTAATCTTTGACATATGCTTTTTGTTTAACGACTTATCATCATCATTATTAATTGTGTAGAATTATTAAATATTAAAAAGTTTGACTGTAAGTGTATTAATTTTTTATGCTACTCTAGCTAATCAGGTTGAATTAATACAAATATCATTGTTTATGATCAATTTTAAATAATTTATATTCATCCCAAATTTCAGTAGTCCAGATTTTTAAAGAAAGAGAAGAGAGCAGTAGTTTTGTATTTTGTTTGCTAGTTTTTAACATTCAAGCTTCATCTGTGTAAGTGAAGTTTTTATGTTGGGACTAAAATTTCCTTAGGAACTTATTTTTGATTGTATTAAAAATAAAACAATCACTTACGGTCGGGAAAGAGACAAATCAGAATAATAAGATCTTCTAACTTACAAATAGAAAGTAGAACTTCTTTCTCTTTCTCAAGAAATTGCCGATCTACTCATACAATTTCTTCATACAAAACTGTAGAGTTAGGTGAGTTACTCATCTATAGAGAGAAAGTCACTTTCTTCCTATGCTTCCCAGAGAAGATGTTGAGAAGATCCAATATCATTGAAAATATAATAAGGAACTGCTGGAAACATTATTTGGTGGAAGAAATATGTAATAGACAGATGAAGAGAGTAGCACTATAACTATGCCATTTATGAGAACCGAATCAGGTGGCAGATGACTGTAGGCGCCGTTTTTCCGCTGATTAAGTGCATTTCCTCAAGAACTGTTTCAAAAATGTTAAAAATTATTCAGTGATTTAGAAAGATAAATGTGTTAACTAGATGTTTTATTTCAAGGCGTTTTCCGTTATTGTTGGTTGTTTAATTACAAATGACACTTAATTTTCAACTTAAGTTTGAACGACTTGAAACAATTGACTTTACCTGTATTTTTTATTTCCAAGACCAGTTATTTTTAAAAAATGTTTTATTATTATTTGACTGTCCAGCTTTAATAAAAGACCAATTATGACAAAATTAAGGCAACTGGTGAATCTTAGTGACCGAAAAAACTAACTACTAGCTTAAGCCAAAGTCGTCAATCCGCCACGTTTGGACGCCATTTTGGGACAGTGTGACCACTTTTTTTTGTGTAGAAACTGGCTGTTTTTAATACATCATTACAAGGAACACAACGATATGCAATTTTTAGGGATGTGGGGGAAGAGTGGACGGGAGGGGGGTCTGGTCCACGAACTACCCTTTCCCGCCAAACTTTTCTCCTCCTCTATCACTCCTCTTTTAAAATATTTAAATGAATAAACATTTACTTCACTGATTAATATCAAACAGGCCATTGAAGATAAAAGAAAACTGCATATGATCAAACATGATAAATAATTTAAATGGAAAATAAAATTGTCTAAACTTTGAAAACCTGTATCTCATAAACTATTTAATTTACCTAGCCTGTTTTGATCTTAAAATGTAGTATATTTAATGTTGAAAACGAGCTACTTCTGGATAAAATGGAGAAAAAAAACGAAAAAAAAGTGTAAAAATATAGTAGTTTTAGAGATATTCATAAGTAATTCGGAAAAAGGAGGGAGTGGGAGGAGAGCGCCGAGGTCTAAAACTTGGATTTCGCATCTCAGACATATCCTAAACTATAAAATAAAAAGAAACACTCAACCCACCTTTCAATACAATTTACGATGTACAAAATTACTGGGCTTGTATGGATATTGTTTTTTGTAAAAGCCATTTTACCATGTACCAATTTAACATGTGCTGCTGCTGTTCACTATCAGGAATTAGGATCTTTTAGAATTAAAAATAAAAATACAATCCCAATTTATATACTGCTTCAACCTACGCAGTCAAAATCTATTAGTGAAAATAGGAAGGTTAATAGATTTTACCATTAGGGAGGACATCATGTTATAATTTTATACAATTTATAATGAAAACAATAAATATTAGAGAGAGAGAGACACACTTTATTATCACAAAAGGGTGCTGCACAATTTTTTAAAACTAATATACAATTATGTAGGATTAACAATATGTATGAGCATAGTATACAATGCTTATATATATGTATTATTATTTTTTCCTTTTTTTTTTTACTATTCCTTCATTCATTTATTAGCTCATTCTATATCTCTTTCTCTTCCTTCTCTCCCCTTATACATTCCTACTGCTCATATTCTCTCATATCTCTTCCTAACCTAATTCATAAAATGCATACATAACATAAAGTACAGTGGACGTGTACAATAAAATAATATAAAAATGCTGTAATACACGCATGCCTTCCCACCATGAACAAACTCTCTCCCTATCAGTGCCCATGCACATGGTGGTGGATAATTCCCAGGGAGTCAAGGATTATATTCTCTGCCAACCTTGCCATGTCCTTTATGTCAACACCAAGGCCCTCCATGAAACTCCTTGTTGAGCTTGGTATCGATTCCACCATTTTATATGTGAAAAATAAAGAGATAATAATAATAATAATGCTTTATTTACTCTGGGACAAGTCCCTTTAGAATAATGTACAGATATAGAAATGTGTGCTTTAGAGCCACAGACAATAATTACAAAATAAAAAAAAAACCTGTACAACTACAACCCATGAAGGGTCTTTGGCTCAGTACTATTTAGGGAAAGCACTGTTTCTAAGTCAACGGTTGTGCAATGAGATGATTTGACCGAGATCAAGCTCAACCGCCAGGTTTTCCCCGTTAATTAATTATTTAATTAAGAGTACTCACTTTATAGAGGCTGGATGTGCTCCAGGAGGGTCTACCGACCCAGTGTTGCCCTACGGCCAATGAAACAGATAAATAAATTTTCTGCCATGAGCCAGGGTTCGAACCTGGGACCTTTATCATTGGAATCTCAGAACCCTACCACTGAGCTACCCCATTCCCTAATTACAAAATAAACAGATTTATATAATGAATAAATAAAAGAAAAGAATATTATTTACCTTCAATCTTCAATTAAGAGAAAAAAAATGAAATAAAAGTATTTAAGCAAACTAATTATTTATATACATATTTTAAATTTTATGAGAACTGAACGGATAAAAAGTGATTGAACAGGTGGGATTTATAGGTGGGGAGGGTTTTGGTGCGACGGATGTAGGATGGGTTAGAATTCCATAGGGATGTGGATCGAATAATGAAAGATCTGTCGAAAGCAGCGGTTCGGTGGGATCTTGTATACAAATCTGAAGACCGGGAACGGGTTTCGCGGGAGTGGACAGAGGATTTGAATTGAAGGAGCTCGAAGATGTATGAAGGACGTCGGAATTGGATGACTTGGAAGAGGAAGGATGCCAGGATATACTTACATCGGTAGGAAGGATAAAGCCATTTCAGCTCTTCATGCAACTTATCAAACATTTTAGTTTCGTCTCGAGATCCCCGGAGACGCCCCCATATACCGAGGGTATGTACGGTACAGCAATACTCGAAGTGAGGAAATATTAAGGAAGTAATAAGGAGTTTACGGGTTTCAAATGGAAATAGACGGCGGAGGTAATTTAGTCGTTTTAAAATGGAAAAGCGGGAAATATCGGATACATGGCTTTTCCAGGAAAGGGTTTGATCAAAGGTTATTCCAAGGTTCTTAATGGTGGGATGCAATTTGATAAGATTGTCGTGTAGGAACAGGCTTGGTATGTTAGGAAGAGTTTTAAGGAGATGACTGGAGCTGATCGACATTGCCTTGGTCTTCTCGGCATTCAACTTCAACTTGTTCGCATCCGCCAAGTCACAGATTCTATTCAAGTCCACTTTAAGTTTTTTTGTGGCTGCTAATAGGTCAGAAGGAGGAAGGACAGGCATATTTGGAAATCATCTCCATAGATATGGTATTGGGAGTGATGAATTAGGAGAGGAAGATCATTAATGTAAATAACAAACAGACTAGGAGATAAGGAGGAATCCTGAGGGAGGTCGCAGGAAGTATCTTTGAAGAAGGTTGATCTTGGACTACTATATACTGGGATCTATTCAAAAGGAAGTATTTGAACCATCACAGGACACTGGATAATGGAAGATTGGATAATGAAAGATATTGCACTGTAGTAAGGAGAATGCTGTGGTCAAGTGTATCAAAAGCTTTGGAGAAATCTAGGAGAATGAGGTAGGAGGTAAGTTTTTGGTGTTCTACGGAGTTTTGGAGTTCATGGGTTATTTATAGAAGGGCAGATTGGGTTGAGTAACCAGGACGAAAGCCAGATTGGAGAGGGTTGATTAGAGAGTTGATATAGGTCGTAACAATCCATCTGGAATCCTCTACGTAACAATGAATGATTCAATAGAAGGCAAAAGACCAAGTGGAAGACCAACAAGCAGATGGATAGATAGAATCAACAAAGATGCAATAGAGCTGCGTGCAGATAATTGGAAAGGTATAGGTACATATACCTAAGTACATATACATGCAGAGATGTAGCTGGCTTGTTAAGGCGGCAGAAGATCTAAATGGTATATACTACCAATATATATATATTGGTAGTATATATCTATACATATATCTGGTAGTATGTATCAATTCTTTCAGCCTAGACTCTCATGCATCTAGGTCTCGGAACGGCCAGATTTATTAACATATTTTTATATTATCCCATTTTCACAACAACTAATGTATATATTTGTGAAAATGGGATAATATAAAAATATGTTAATAAATCTGGCCGTTCCGAGACCTAGATGCATGAGAGTCTAGGCTGAAAGAATTGACAAAGCAACTCCTTACATGGTGCGAGGGTAAGGGCTGGTACTAGGGCAGCTGCAGAGGTGCCCAGAAGGGGATTTCGTGGCGCAAGTTACACCATCACAATTGTTGAGGAGGGCACATTTTGATGAGATTTTGAATTTTCGGATTGAAAAGTTTCAAACAAGAAGATAAAGGAAGTACATGGAACAAACTCTGTCAAGTGTAATAGCTTATGATATACAGAACGTTTATTTGCAATGTTTATAAGA